TTCCAGAAACACAGACTTGGTAACTACTGTTATCTGAGTAAAGTAAACAAATTCAATCTCTTGCACACCTCTGTTTAGAAAACAAAGTATGTTGTTCTTCATAGAATTACAGAATAGTTATGGTTGAAAAGGATCTTAAGTTCATCTAGTTCCACCACCCCCCTGCCATGGGCAGGGACACCACACGCTAAACCATGTCACCCAATTCAACAGCTTCAATCATATTGAAAAACCTCAGGACCAAGACATCATACTACTGTAAAGCGGCTAATCAACATTTCATTTCCTTTTTAATACGTTCGTTAAATGGTTAAAGAAGAGATGGAATGCAGTTTCCAAAACGAATCTTAGCACTGTTAATTGGGGAGGACCCATCTTCTTTATGAAGTTTGGGCTATTCAGTGTCTTTTAATGGAAAACTAACTGTAAAACAGTGCTGCAACTGTAGAATAGAAGCAGCATGAGGAAGCATTCTGTGCTGGTGCATTCTGATACTTACATTGTAGAAGAAGACCACTGCTCTCAGCCTAACTCCTTCTGCCTTTTCCATAAAAAGAACCCCAGAAACAGCCCTTTTTGCTTTCACAAATCTTTCTTTCATTCCCTTTATTAACTCTTACACAGGAGAGACAACCATGCCTTAATATTCCACATACAAATCTGTACATATGTGCATTAATAAAAGGATCACACTACCTACAACTGAAGAGCAGCCTCCTCTGAGGTGGAACTAGGCAGTTTTTTAAGGGCACAATAGAAAATTTCTTCTCTTCTTCACTTACACTGTTTTTTATACTTTCAAAGCACTTCACAAATATTAATTAGTTCTAAATAAATTCTAATTATTTCTAAGAGTGGCCCTAGCGATCTGTATCATCTGGTGTGAAATCTTACTTCAGTGAAGTCAACAGCAACAGCTCCTCAGACCTCAACAGAACTGACATTTCACTTGCTATTGCTAAAATGCTGAGAGTCATGTATATTATCTTGCAAGTACCACAAGAGGAGCTGAACTAGTAATAGTAGTAGCAAATGACAGGATTAAGGAATGCTGCTGAGAATAAAAGAAGGAGGGTTAAATGACCTGAGCCAATTTGCATAGGCTAAATGTGGGAGAAGCTTTGCCACAGTTTGGGAAATGCAGTATCAGGCTCTGGCTGGTTTCAACGTCAGCTGAAACAGAAGGCACTCACCTGCTGCTAAAACCAATTCATATACCTGGGATACTGGGCTCAACTCCTAGCACCTACTCATGCCAGAGGTCACCAACTTAATTAACACTCCATTCCAAAACATCAACTCCTTATAAAGAGATTTGCATTATACAGCTATAAAAATATTACATATTATATATATAATAAAACACATATAAAGAGACTTGCACAAAAATCAAAATACTTAAATCCCAAATAGCACTTAGTGAATGGATAATGAGGTATGTAGCAAATAAGTAGGTAATCAGTATTCTTCTTGCTAATTGTGGACAATATAGTCCATGACATATTGCCAACTTACTTTTCTCATGTGAAAAATACACTCTGGTTGCAAATAATAGTATTAAATATTTTACACACCATGCAATTATATCTAGGTGTGGGGTTAAAAATCAATCACAGATTATGAATCTTTTTCTCAAATAGATATGTAATCCTAATAGAAGTTCCTCCCTCTTTCTCTGCCAACTTTACCACCACACAATATGCCATAGAGAAAAGAGGGGAAGTGTCAACTTGTGTAAATTGTCCCTTATGTAATGCAAACCATCTGTTTTAAAAAAACAAAACAAAATGAAAAAACAAGCCACTCCCAAGCATGATCCGCTATGAAGAAAAAGAAAGAAAAAGAAATTTACTTCATCAAATCGGAAGCCAGAGACCATGACCTGGCATGTTAACTACGGAGAAAATATTTACCTCTGCCCTCCCTGTATTTACCTGATTTTGAAAATTTTTTGAGAAGTGTCAGTGGATAATTTCCTCTGCACATATTAGAAACTGATACCGCTGTATTCTTTTGAGCATTTCAGGTGCTTAGAATGTTTCCAATCAAGTCGGAATCCAAACAGAGAAACCTCCTTGTTTTTAGTAACAGACAGAATAGCTCTCACCACAGCGATGCCATCAATGGGGCAGAAGGTCCCTGAGTCCCCAGCCACTCAAACCTGGCAAAGTGAGGGGAGATAAAGTATCCGTATACTCTTTCCCTGTTCTTCTACTCTTCTTTAGGTGTCATGACAGGAATCTAAACGGACCCCTGCTATGAACTGTTATGATTATTTTTGTGTTATCTTCATTCAAATCCTCATAAAAGGAAGTATGTGTAGAGAAAGCAGTACTCTTCCTTTCCACAGTCTCTCTCTGGATTAAGTCATTAGTCCACTAGAAGCATTGGCTGAGGAACCCTAGCACATACACTCTCTGAAACCACTAGGAGATATACATTTGATCCTCTGTTGCTCTAACGCAGACAGGTGAATCAGAAAGCACTGAATAAGATTGGTTTCATTATCTAAGCTGAATGAAAGAAAAACAGCAGTATAACCAGGTACTCATCATTTAACTCATCATTTTTTCTCTTTCACTGACCTCATGACTTGATCACACATTCCCTTCCAGCTGCAGCTGTGCTGGCTGAAGAGGCCACCATCTCCAACCACAGCCTGTTGCCAAAAGTTACCACTGTGACCAAGCTGCTTATTTAATCACTTCCCAACATGTTTCCATTAAAATGAGCCAGTTCAGTTTAAGCAATTTTAACAGAAAGTCTTTTCTATCCCAGCCTGGGCAGAAGCAAGTTAGGGAGAGCTTAATCAAGAATCTCGGCCACCATGTCAGAAGCTAGAGGCAAAGTCATGAGCAACTGAACAGTTCTCTCTACAGCTACTTGGCATGCAGACAGAAGGTGGCAAGTAACCCAGTCATCAGGTGTGACCAACAGCGCAAATGACGAGGGATCTAGTTACCTATTGCAGTGCTATGCTGGTAGCCATTTAAGCTCAGTTCAAGCAAGCATAGAAAGTTTACCATACAAACATTTGCTAAATACCCCTGAGGCTTAGATCCTAGTGCTTTTGTCACTCTTCAGTGAAGCCTTAGTCTCCTAAATCACTCAGGTGCTTTAGAAAATTTTATCCAGAGCTCTAGTTTACAGTCTACCACATCTTTGCCAAGCGGACTGACACACAGAAGCGCAAGCAGAAAACTGGGAGAAATATGTTTTAATGGCCTGTCAAAAACATTACTTGATGTTATAGATTTAGGGCAGCTATGTCTTTCATTGCTACAAGCTTTCTAGGTGTAGCTAAATCTGTATATGCTTTTTTGTTTATACTAAACTGTGAGTGAAAAGAAAAAATCCTTTGGACTACTTATCACTTTTCCTCAGCTTCTCAGTTAAATTCAGTCAAACATGCCAGGGAATCACCAAACACAGAGCTGTCTTTTTCCCCCGGCTTCTGCTCAGCCCTAGACCTTTTCATGCTGTTGATTCCAAGCCTTACTGCCAGGAGCAGCCGCAACTTTACTCTCTTTCATTTTCAAGGTTACACGAACACGCAAGGTCATATATACTTCATGGATGAGAGGAACTACAGGACTGTCTTACGGTTAATGTACAAGCAGCAAAAAGAAGGGAAAAAACCAACCTCAACTCTTTCTGTACAAACCAGACTTCAGTAACATGGAACTAATTTCATCTGCCGGATACATCAAACAGGGTGCTTTCCTGACCTTTTCCAGGCCTACAGTTATGGTAGCATTCATATTCAGTGTGGCTTTCAGTTAAACATTCTGTAATGTGAATCGTTACTTCTCCCATTTGAAGGAGACTGAGTGTGAAATCACTGGAAGAACTGAATGAGCCTATGCTTTGGCACTGCAGCTGCTGAGGGATGTTAGGTGTTTTGAAGACTAATTTTCAGCAGTGGTGCCAGCCTATAAAATATTAGGAAAAGGGATCAGTGGCCAAAGAAACTCAAGTTTGCATTCAAGTACTGTATCTACAACGTTACAAAAACTGAAGAAATCTGAAATTGTGGGTTAAGCCAGTTTAACTAAAGGAATCTTCGTGTTCTAATTTTATGAAACTGCTGCAGCAGCAAGTGCTCAGTACCTCAAGAAACCTGATGAATTCATGAGTTAGTCAACAGTACAGATGGATACACTGACATGGACATAATAAAGCTAAACATCCACGCCAGAGACAGAGAAGAGTAGAATAAGTGACTCCTAAATAACTCAGTTCAAAACTGATGTCAGAAGACTTATACAAGCACAAATGCAAGAAAACAAGGCTATGGAATTCATGCTCTTAGTGAAATCTATTCATGGAAATAGAGTTCCCTGTTTATTCCTTAACTTGTATTTATTATCATCCTGATGACAGCAACATTAAATACTATATAAGGCTTAAATAAAATTAAAAAAAATCTGGGCAAGGTGGAGAACAATACAAATCTTTCAAAGATTAAAAAAGTAGATGCTATATTTTTTAGTGTTAGGCTCTCATAAATATAGTTTGTGTTAGTCCATCATACTGAAAGGCATATGCTATCTTTGATCTCTGTGCAGAACCCCCGTTGAGATTAATGTGAGTTTTGTGTGAAGAAAGAGACAAGAATAGGCCCTCAGTTCACAAATAGTAAGCAGGCTGCTTCAGGAAAAAACATGCTTTTTCTTACAACAGTGTTGAAATTTATTGGGAAGTTTCAAATAGCTTACATACATAGATGTATGTATGCATGTGTGGTCATGAGCATGTTCACTTGTCAAAAAGATCTGTCAGAAAGAAGGTGCACAAATCTACTTGTTGTGTGAGATGTTCTGAGATTACTTTGAAACACAAACTTTATCTCTGACAACATTTTCTCATACAATAATGACTAATCCTCTATTTTACAGTTATCTCTGCAAGTTCATTGGGCTAGAGGTTATATCTTTAAACAGATGGGCATGAAATTGTACCCTATACCCACTTCCAGCTAAAAAATCTACAGGACTTACTGCATCCCGCTTTGTAGCTGAAACCAGGAGGAAGAAGAAATCCTTGCTGTGCAGCTGCTGCTAGGGTTCGTTGGTCTGGAGGGAATACGGGAATCATTAATGGAGGCAGCTGACCCTGGACCTGCTGAACAGGAGAGGGAAAATCAAACACAGAATTTTTTTCTGGGGGAAAATGTCTGCTTAAATGATTTCTCTTACTTCCGGGCTGAGAGCTTAGGTTTGAATACGCTCCTCCATAATGGGGTGTTCCAGTAGCATCAACTTTTCAAACTCATTCTAAATACCAAAGCACTTCATATGAATTACATTAGCCCAAAATAGATCAAAATATGCCACTAATGCATATCCCAATTAATGATTTCCCCTGTGATTCCATAATGCCTCACTTCTTTTTGACTGCAGGGTGGCTTTTTTCTTGCACTGTGTAACAGTATCTCTGTCTCAGACAGTACCTTTCACCCTGACTGAGCCCGAACACAAAGATCCACACACTCAGAAGTACAAATAAGTATGTGCATAAGTACATTCGGTACTATTTTTCTGCCCATATGCATGCATGCACTTGTACATGTGAAAAGAGAAGTCTCTGAGATGGTAAGAAAAATGCTGAGACACTTTATTCACAAGTAAAACACAGCTATGTCTGAAGTGTTAGCTGTTCAACTTTGCACAGCAACTGTACACAACCATTCAAGTCAGGAAATGGAAAATATTATATTGTAAGTGGATACTACAGGGGACTTAAGACATGCAGAAATTAGTCATCAAAACTGGAAGTTGGCCATGGCAAAATGTCTAATACTGTTGCTTTTACCCAGTTCTGTTGGCGTTTTAATTGCTAGCAATGGACATCGACTTTGCATTTCACGCAGATGAGAAAAAAAAAGTTGGCAAGATTAAAATGTTAAATGGGTAGTTTTAATTAAAAAAAAACAACACTGTACTGACCATATCAATCAGTGAAGGGAGACTGACTCAGTTTCTGAGAGGTCATCTAGATTTTTAATGGCACTGTAACACTGAGGCATCAGGGGTAGTGTTATCAAAGACTAAAATTCAGTTTGTGCTCTGTAGCTTTGAGGAACGTGAAGAATTAGGGTATTGATAGACAACCTTTTTTTTTGCCAGAGGTGTAAGAAGGTATTGCTCCCTTTATTATTGCCCGCATTGCAGAATTGGCAAAGGAGAACCTGTGCCACCTCCTTGGCTGCCACAGTTCAGAACACAGCATCTTTAATCTCCTGAAGATCCAGCAGATGTCTTGATTCACCCAACGCTGTTACAGAGCAGAAGGGTGATAAAAAATTTGTGCTGGTAACCTCTTAACTTATGCCAGGACCTGTCAACACCTGTGTGAATGCTGACTGCAGCCCTGTTGCTGGAAATTCTTACAGTGGAAAATTAAGACTGGGACTGAAGCTAGAGTAGATGTAGCTCCATTCACTGAAATAAGTTGATCCATTTGTTTTTACTTCAGTATTCTCCTTTCTATTCTGACCCTGTTAACAAGAAGACATACGTACTTTTAATTGACTCGCTGGAGAAATAAGAACATGTAAAATTTGATCTGTTCTCTACCCCTACTCTTTCACCCTAGAACAGCCCAATGTTTGTTTTTTCTTCATGTGTGTGTTGTGGGGCTTTTTTTTGGTTGGTTTTTTTTTTTGTTTGTTTGTTTGTTGGGCTTTTTTTTTTGTTTAGGTTTTTTTTTTTAAAAGACAAAGACAAAGTAACTGTATTCTTTTAGAACAAAAATGAACAGCCGTGTGGAATTTTTGCATAGTACTCTTCTTCGGCAAAAAGCCACAGAACTTTTTTTTTTAAATGGTTTCCAAGGATGAAAGTGACTTTGCCAAGCAAAGAAGCTTCAAAACAGGACTCAAAAACACTAATAGAAAGACAGATGGTTCTACTAAGAGCTTTGCTGCCAAAAAAAATGTTAAAAAAAAAAAAGTGAAAAAAATGGAGTGATGTTATTGAAGCTGACTGCAAAGTTCTCTGATGACTGCAAATACTCTTGTCCCACTGCAAGTGTTAACTCTGCCTCCAGGGCTAATATAACTAAAGCACCACACACACACAAATTGTCATTGCCAAGCCCACAATGTAGCACAAGTCTGCACTTGATTCCAAGTGACTGCCAAATACATGAGCAAAACACCACACTGAAAAATTCCCATTTAGGAAAACATTTACCAGGAAAATGCCCTTTCTTCTTAACTCTGACTGCTGCATTTCATTTTTTCAAATCATTGCCTCTCTTTATTGCTCCAAGGGGCCTTATACCCACTAATTTCAAATGACACAACCCCGGTCACGTTAAAGAGGTAAGAACTATAGAGTGATGAGGATGGTTTGCATGGATACAGAAATAACGCAGTCAAAACAATGCGATTTTCATTCCAGGATGGAATGTATGTAGCACCAGTCAAACAGCTACACTTCGTTTTCTCCCAAATACAAATAAGTGCAAACATTAGTTTATTTTAATCCGATAACCTGACACAATACGATACAAATTATGGACTCTTCATTTTTATGGCTTATTTAACTACTGTATCTTAACTCTCATTATGTTTATTATTATTACCTAGAATTGCTAGGATACAACTGTTTCAAGTGGCACAGAATGCAGGCCCTCTTTCTGAGTTTTACACGAAGGGTTTTTTCCTCTTTTTTTTCCTTTATTTTTTTAATCTATTACTATGTAAGTTACACCTCTCACAAATGTTTTATGCTATATAATTTGCATACCTTCCAATGTTTTCTTGACAGTAACTTCTTGATACTGAATTCCTAATTTGATCATAATGGACTGCAATTCAGAGCTACTTTTTCAGATCCTCCAATTTGTTGTGCTAATGGACATAGATGTGTCCATAGAAAGAAATGCACCTTTAACAATCTAAAAATGTATATAGCTGTCAAGATTCTCCACTTGCCAGTCTCTCTGCATGAGTACCCCCTTTTAGCTGTAATTTCCTAAAGGTGAAAATTGTAGCTTAAATCCTCACAGAATTCCCAATGGAATTAATGAGCTACAGTTTCACCTTGCAACTTCTTACCCACTTTATAATGTTAGTCTGGATGATACAGATACAATCTTCCAAGGGCCTGTTTTTTCACTACACATACTATTGCCACGATGTCAACAGACCACACGGTTCCTTCAACTTTCTTTTAATTTGAATGTTGGCACCACATACAGGTTAACCAGAAGTATTCTTGCACTGTATGACAAACTGCAGCAGCATGGTATGCAAAAAAAGGCATACAACATACATAAACCAGCAAAGAAACAAAGTGAATGTCATGAGAGCCATAATATTCTATACAATCAATTCACTAGGTAAGGAATTCATACTTCCATTCACATATCTCTGAAAAGTAATGTGGGGTAAGAGGGAAGCCTTTGCTGCAAAGACATAAAGCCTTAGCATTTAGTTTATGAGAAACAACTCCCCTTAAGGAAGCAGATACACAAGAGTTCAAACAGTCCAAGAAAGTAAAGGTTCCCTAATACATAATGAGGACAGTAAGTCGCCTTCTGTAATGGAAGAAATTGCAACAAAATTTAACCTAGAGTCCAAACCAAAATCTGGGACCCTTTATACTTGGCACTGAAAATCCATAAAGGAGATTAGCCTTAAAGAACTTATCAAGATAAAAAACCAATATGAGTACATGACAAACAACTAATCTACTGTCCAAGTGGGAAACTGAGGCATCCAGAGTTGCCCATAAAGATTTTCAATTTTGGGAAGTGCCTCACTGTATCTTTACTTTTTTCAGTGCCTTTGAAAAATCTGCCCCTAGAGGACTTATCAAAAGAAAATTTGTTAGTAAATTTGGAACTGATTCAAGTTGTTAAAGCCTGGGCCAGCATCTTCACAAATCTGTGCATGTCCTTTATGACTTAACCATAACAAATCCAACTGCACAAAGATGTGCATTCAGTGTAGTCACAGCTAGATTCCCAGCTTCATTATAATTGTAGTACATCCGCCTAAATTCTGGTCTCCTACCTACTTTTAGGAACATACTATGGTTTCCACAGCTACCTAAGCACTAGCAGTATGTTTTTTGCAGTTACCCCTACTGTTTGCTACTAGCTCCTGCTATGACATATAAATTTAGATTGCAAACACTTCACAACTACAGTTCTACTCTTATTTTCCGTGAAATGTCACGTGAGCTTTTGGTCACTGTATTAACAAAGACAAAATAGTTTAAGGTTGCAGAGTTAGGAACTGCCAGAATCAGGGTAACATATGTGACCTTATTTTGGTCCTTTATGCCCATGCATCCTGACAGAGTCTTCAATTAAAAGTTCACAATTCTTGCTTAAGCTAGCAGGCTTATAGTATTTCTCAAGTAACATAAACCCATGCTTTCAACAAATCTAAGCCCCTAATATAGCAGCTGCTACCAGTTTTATTTATTTTCTCTTTATACCCTTCCACCAATTTAATTTCTGTAGTTGCTCATTACATGTTTACTAGCATAAACTTTTACGTAAGTTTTCCTCTCTCCAAGGTAAGTATCTAAATGCATTTCCCAGTATCCATATATATACCACTTTCCACTGAGGGGTGAATACTGCTCTTCCACCCACCTCTAGTTCTTCAGAAGCAATTCTATCCCTTTCAGTGAGACTGGTGACAGAGTAACAAATTACTCAGTGTGAATAAGAATGGCTGCTAAAAGCAACACTCTCTTCTCTGCAAACTGACAAAACCCCGAGCAGTACTTTACTCTTGAACTCTTTAGAAGATGCCCTTCAAGAGCTGTATGCGCATCCTTGCTGAAATGATCTCTTACATGGCTTCTTCATGTAGAAGTGTGGCTAATTTTTATTTTGAGTTATTCTCAGCTGCCTCAAAGAAATTCAGATTTCACAATCCGAGAACAGTGGATGCACACAAACGATTCGATCAATTTCAAACTGTTGTATGAATATCTCCTTGCCTGCAACTTGTTTATAAGTTAAGCATCTCTTCTACTGCATATGAAAGACTGTAATGTACATTAAACATGCAATAACATAAATCTGTCCCTCAAAAATGACATGTTTAATTGCATCAGACCCCCTTCCTCCAGAAACATTTGGCTCATGGTGGCACA